AGAAGTGCAAGGTGGGAGCCTGCCAGCCTTGAGATAAGTGTGTGTGTGTGTGTGTGTGTGTGTGTGTGTGTGTGTGTGTGTGTATACATACACCATGGCATATGTATAGAAGTCAGGGCCAACTTCCAGGAGTCAGTTCTCTCCTTCCACTATGTGGGTCCCAGAGATCCAATTCAGGTGATCTAGGTTTGGCAGCAAGTGCCTTTGTCCACTAAGTCATCTTGTCAGCCCTGAATTGGACATTCTATATGGGTGGGTTGCATGCCAGGTGAGTTATCTCAATGAAAGAGTTAAAAAGAAGGCTGGGCATGGTGGCGCACACCTTTAATTCCAGCACTCAGGAAGCAGAGGCAGGAGGATCTCTGTGAGATCAAGTCCAGCCTGGTCTGTATAGCAAGTTCCAGGACAGCTAGGGCTATAGAGAGACTCTGTATGATGAAGAAGAAGAAGGAGGAGGAAGGAGGAAGGAGGCAACAAAGATCATGACAAAGAAGGAAGAGAAGAAGAAAAGGAGGAGCAGGAGGAGGGGGGGAGGAGGGGGAGGAGAAGGAGAAGAAGGAGAAGGAGGAGAGGGGGAGGGGAGGGGAGGGGGAGGAGGAGGAGGAGGGGGAGGAGGAGGAGGAGGAAGTCATCTGAGCTGGGTGCAATGCATGCCAGTAGACTGAACTACTTAAAAGGCTGAGGCAGGAAGATCACTTGAGCCCAAGAGTTACAGACCAGCCTGGACATTTAAAAAAGAGTGGAAAGGAACACCAGATGGCTCCAGAGGTAAAGGCTACCAAGCTTGAGGACCTGAGTTTAATACCTCAGACGGAAGGAGAGAACCAACTCCTGGCAAATTGTCCTCTGACCTCCACACACGTCCCCCCCCCCCATCAAAAACTGGAAAAATCATCTGAATTCTCATTCATTGCTTGTGGAGATGTAAAAAGTATGGTCCCTTCACTTTGGAAGACAGTTTGGCAATCTCTCACCAAAACTTATAGGTTAAAGAGAGCTCAGTGCTCAGTGGTTAAGGGCATTTGCTGCACAGTAACAAGGACCAGAGTTCAGATCCTAGCACTCATGTAACAAGTCAGGCATCCCATAACCCCAGCCCAAAGTGGGCAGTGGAGTCCAGGAGAATTGCTGGAGGCTTGCTAACTTTCAGCCTAGCCAAGAAAACAGGAACCCCATATTCAGGAAAATACTTTGCCTCAAAGGAATAAGCAGAGAGTGATTGATAGAGGAGGACTCCTCTGCTCGTACCTGCACATACATATGTGCATACACTCACAGATACACACACACAAATAATAAATATAGTCTTATCATAGGATCCAACAAACATGTTCCCAGGTATTTACCCCAATGAACAGAAACATATCATGTGAAAACCTGCACCCACATGTTTATAGCAGCTTTATTCATAACTGTCAACAGTTAGCCGTAATCAATATTTCAACAAATAACTGGATAAACTCTGGTGCCTCCAGGCAAAGGAATTCATTCAGAGATAAAAATAAACATGTTACCAAGCAATGAAGATACATAGAATATTCTTAAAGGCCTGGATTTCATCTTCAACTCCACAAAGTTAAATATAAAATTTAAAGGTCTATCACTAAAGATGCCAATCTGAAAATGCTACATATTATACAATGCAATTCTATGGACACTGTGACAAAGATCAGTAGTTCGAGGGTGTCCAGATGGCCCCAGTGCCTACCACACTAGCACAAGCATCTAAGTTCAGATCCCCAAGGGCACATAAAAAGCTGGGTGCAGCAGTACACATCTGTAATCCTAGAGCTGAGGGAGTGGTGACAGTCAGATCCCAAAGCTCACTGGCTAGCCAGTACCTCATCAAGTAGATGTGCTCCAGGTTCAGTGAGACACCTGGTCTCAAAAAAAAGAAAAAACAGACCCCTCGATATCCTCAGTATGCATGTCTGTAATACAGGCCCAAGGACCCCACAGAGTCCAGACTAGCCCTAGAAAATGAGCACAAGTGATAGAATTTAGAACTTAGGGGAAGAAAGGATGAACAGGCAGAACACAGAGAATTTTTTTTCCTTTGAGACAGGATCTCACAAATCCCAGATTGGCCTCAAGCTGGCTCTATAAGCAGGAATGAGCTTGACTTTCTGATCCTCCCGCCTCCACCTCCCAAGTGCTTGGATTACACACTACATCTGTACCCCTGCAAATGTTTCTTAGAGTCCACATCTGGTATATCCCGTTTTGCAATACAACCATCCCAAGGCTATCCCTTGGCTGGTTCCTTTCTGTTGGGCCTTGGGTTGGCTTGTCACTGATGTCTACCATTGCAAACACTAATGGCATCTGAGATTCCAGAGTGGAGGAAATATCATGACAAAGATATTTTTCTGTGCTTGAGCACACTACCATAATGCTCATGAGAGGCAGGGACCCTGCCTGAGACTAGGGTACAACATAGAGGTCAGAATCAAAAAGAGGCAGATACTCACCATGGGAAGCCAGGGCAATGGAGCTTGTGTACCACACTGTTTCGTGCCAAATACGAGTAATGGAAGCCTCCAGGGTTGAGGATCAAGGGGGTCAGATCAACAATGTGACTGTAAGACAGGGCAGAGACAGGATGTTAGCCTTGGACCCCTCGACATCCTCAGCATGCATGTCTGTAATACAGGCTCGAGGACCCCACAGAGCCCAGACTAGCCCTAGAAAATGAGCACAATGACCACTCAAATTCGGGTCAGAATTAAGAGGTTGAGACAAAACAGCAACCAAGTCTGGCACCCAGGATGGCCCTAAAAAATGCTTTTTGTTTCCTCAAGCAGAGTAAATACCCTCTACCTCTTTGGGTTTGATGAAAGTCCATTCCAGTTTAATTGCACTTCAGACCTTGAAATGTCCAGTTTCTCCACCTGCAGGAAACAAAGGAAATCTCAGGACAGTGGAGACTGCAGGATCATGCAGGAAAGCAGTCCTTATATATACAGGGAGCAGGACTTGATTTTCACTCATTCAGTAGATACATCAGTATCCACCTCGAGCTTAGCATTTTAGGGGTACAGAGGAGAGGATGGAGGCTAGAAGTGACTGAGGAGGTCCTAATCCTGCATGGGGGGTGGGAGGCTGTTGGAGAAGGGGGCCTAAAGTAGGATGCATAGTAAAAACAGGAGACTGGAGGTACAGGCAAGGAGGCAGGGTAAGGGATGACACTCTGAGGAAGTGGGAATGGAGCTAAAGCTGTGAGGAAGGCCCATAGTTTTCTACCTATCCTTCAGGAGATCCAGCTTCCTTACCTAGTGCACCTGGGGTTGCCTTGCTCCCTCAAAGACAAGAAATGGAGCTCTGTCACTTTGACCCCTGCCAGGACAGCCACGTCCTGCTTTGAATATTGATGTTCCAAAATACCCAAAACTTTGTCTACAAAGAGTGTTCTTCTGAGATCCAAGAGCTACTACTGTGGGCCCAGATAGGAGTAGCAACTGTTCTGAATGATAGACAGAGACTGCCCCTCCCGGGATTGCCTAGAGAGGGGTAGTCTCCCACTGACCAGCTTGCCAGACAGTGGAGGGAAGGGACCAAAGACCCTGGGCATAGTGTAGACAGAAGGTGATGAGGCCACTACAGAGGCCATGGTGGTAACAGGTGGTGGTGGCAGCGGTGGTGGTAACAGGGCTGGCAGCAGGCATGGGGAGGATGACCGGTCCTGTAACAGGATAGACTCTGGTTTCTCTGATTTCAGCTTTTTCCTCTTCTTCTTGGCATCTGTGATAAAAAATATAGTGAGTGCTGACACCCTGAGCAGGGTAAGGTTAAGTAGGGCCCAAACACAATGATACAAGGTCTTCACAATATCCTTCCAGCAAGGAAGGGAGGTTAGAAAAGAGTTCCCTGGTTAAATACCTAGAGCCACCACTGACAGGTACCTACATGTATCATCTTACTAGCTACCCAGCTCCATGGAGAAAGGTTCTCCTCTTTCCTTTCTTTCTCTCTTTCTTTCTTTCTTTCTTTCTTTCTCCTTCCTCCCTTCCTTCCTTCCTTCCTTCCTTCCTTCCTTCCTTCCTTCCTTCCTTCCTTCCTTCCTTCCT